TATATATATATATATATATATTTATTTTTTTTTTAATTTTTTTTTTTACGATCTTCAACATACCAGGAATAGGGGATAAATTATCATTGCCAGTTACAGTGCAATCTCCTATAACAGAGTCATTTCAAAAGATAGCCTCCATATCATCATAACGAGGACAAAGCTTGTTCCTCCACTTTCCGAATTCTAGTTTTCCCTACAAATGAAAAAAGAGTGGTATATATGCTACGCATAATCAATGTTCAAAAGATATTATACTACTAATATTTAATGCCTAATAAGTTGGTTGATGAAATATTGTACCTTCAAAAACTCTTCCCAAGCTATAACATCTGCTGTGACACGTTCAGTGTCAGGAACTAACCCTAAACCACTCATACTCAACAATTGGCGAACTTCGAGAAATTCCTTTTTAAGAGTCTTCAATCGCGCCCTCACATTCTTATCCGAGACCATGATTCCACATCCGTTATACACGCTCTCAATTGCTTTGAAAACGTGATATGATGAAAACCCATTGTCACTCCTTTTTGTGACCGACCAACACTTGACGTAGTAATGCAGTTATTGTACAACCATTCATTGCATCACTCCGACTCTCATGACGATTCCTAGCATTGAGATCCATTTTGGTTGAGCTTATTTCCTCCACATCTAAATGGATGGTTGGTCTAGGCACTTGAAACGGTGCCGTAGAGATTTGTCGATTATGTGCCATGAAATCTGTATACCAAGATTAAAAGTTTATGGTTGACCATTATATAAAAATATGTAAAATAATGAATGTCAACAATTTGAAACTAATAACATCAAATCCAATTATAACATTTAAAATTTTAGCAACCTTATGTCAACAGTTACATAAGGACGTGGAAGAAAAACCTATCTAATATCAATATGTATTTATTCTAAGCAATAGCTAACCATGAAATGTGTCGAGTTTAAGTCCATTACATAACAACATAAATAAAATAAAGAAAATATCATATTTCAATCGAAATCGACTCTTGCATCCTGATTGGGACGATAATCAGCCCACATTAACTCAGCAATTGTATTCCTCTTATTAGACCATGCTTCTTGAGATGTAAAAGATATGTGAGCATTTGGAGTTTCATCCTCAAGTACATCAACGTGTGTAGGTCCTCCTCACAAACATCTTCTACGTCATCAATCCTTAAAAAGTTATGGATGGCAGAACAAGCAAGGACTATTTTTGCTTGTGTGTCAATGTCGAGGTAGGATTGATGTCCCAAATATTGAAATCTTTTTTTAAGCAAACCAATTGTCCTCTCAATGACATTACGAAGAGATGAATGTCAAAAATTGAATAACTCCTTACTACTTTCAGGATGTTGGCCCCCAATGTCTCTACGATGATAACGAATCCCACGATATGGTCCAAGAAATTCCGAAACCAATGGAAAATCGACGTCGACGAGATAATATTTACCCGTTACAATTGTTATTGCATTATAAGTTGTATATGAAAGATTTTTTCGAAATTGTAATACAACTTACCAAAAGGAATTGTTAGATTATGCTCTTGACGTAATATTACACTCCTTAACAATCAACTATCATGTGCGGATCCCTCCCAACCGGCAAGCACATATGTAAATTTCATATCAATTGTACAAGCTACCAAAACATTTTGAGAAATCACCTGTTTTCTATTGTGATATCTAGCTTGCTCCTCTAAGGGCACATTCACAGCTATATGCGTACCATCTATTGCCCCTACAGCATCCTTTAAAAAGGAATAATTTTTGAAATATTATAATATGGAAGTTTTAAGAGATATAATGAAATAACTACAAACCTCTAACCTGAAAAAATGAGTACCATGGCTTCACATTTTCCTTCTCGTATGGAGAGTGATGAGGAGTGACGTTAATCACAACTTCTCTATATAGTCGAAGACAAGCGTGCAAGACTCTGTGGAAGTAAAAGCTCACCATTTGACCAGATCGAAAGAAAGTAAAATGTACAGATCGATTACGTTGGTCATGTCCGACGGTATTTAGAAAAATAGCCACTTGTTCCTCAATTCTGACAAATTTACTATCAACCAACCCATACGTTCGCAAACGAGCACATAATCTTTGAAACGGACCTATTTTCATCCTAAGTAGATCACGACATACCGTATCACTCATGCCAAACATTCGTGTAAGTGTCAACTCTCTTTCGGAATCCCAATTGGTATGAAGAGCTCTAGGAAGATGTTCACAACATTTAATATCATTATATATCACAGTCGCTTGTATGACCATTGTCCAAAATAAACCTAAATGTTGGCGTTCGCGTCGACGTTGATTCCATGTTGTAGCCATGTTACGAACTATCACGATAAATGAAAATTAAGATTAATTATAATATCTCACAAACTAGTTGTAATTAGATAAGATGAGTAATAATTACAGTCATTTGAACGTAATAAATCTGAATTTTTCAACTGGTGTTGGCATTGGCGTGAACTTGCAATGGAAAAGTTGGTTTAACATATGGCTATCAAATAATACACAAAATGGTGTTGGCATAAGGCTATTTTTCAAACTGCCAACATATTTGTTGCTCTGTCAAATGAAGCATCTTCATGTGGTTGCTGGAATTAAATTGCAAATGTCTACATGTTATGATAAACCAGCATTATTTGGAACCTCTAGATAGAATTGCACCACGACATCCTAAAGGATCATCGAAAGCTCCTAAACATTCGATTGAGTTAACTCCAATAATAACAAAGTTAGCAGCCACAGAATATGAAAGAAGAGATCCACTTTAGAAAGTTAGATTCAACATCCAAGAATTTATGGCAGTTTATCTACTGGAATTGTCAGAGAAAAAGAGAAATATAATGTACTGAACAAATCAGGTAAATCACGGGAAATGAGGATTATAACACAGTCACATACTGTAGGAACCTGCTGCAAATAAATGCCTTGGCAAGCTCCTATAAATATAATGTTCTATAGTAAAATTATTAATAACTAATAATACAGGAAGATACTTTGTCATCAGTCAGATTTTTCTTGATATAATTACCATGTAAAAATAATAGCCACTTGTCAACAGCAACATCTTTCCAGAATGTGCGGTACACACAACATAAAATAATTCTTGGATAATTTATTTCTATCACTGGGTCTTGCTGGGTACAGACTCACACAAATGTACTGCTGGAGCATTTGGTCAGTTTGCAACTGGAATTGGTAATACTAATGCTGGTTTTGTGCTGGGTACTGGAAAGCTCTTACTTAAGGTCTGTCTTGTCTTCTTAATTTCATTAATTTATTGATTGTGTTCTTTCCCAATTGATTTTTCATATGATTTCACAAACTTCCATCACAGCGATCTAGATGTCATGCAGTACTCTTGTAGAATCCAAGACAAAAAAGGACAGCTAAACCTTTTTATTAAATATAATTTGATATTGGCTACATAAATCATTTTTTGCCATTCTGTTTGGTTTTAGCTATATATACTTGAAGATCGAATGCAATCTTAGTTTTGACAGCCACAACATGTCGTGTTAATTTTGGTCTAACATTTTCTACTGAAATCGCATTATTTTGTAAATTAGAGTTTCTTTAAGTCTACAAGCAGGACGACTAATGTTGTCATTCCCTTAATTTATGGAGTCAACTTTATACGACATTATCTGTGATAATCAATTCCACACAGTCGTATTCTTACTATACCAAAAGCGCATTAGATATACTCCAACTTTGTTCTACTTAACCCCCAAAATAGTATTCTAAAAGTTTATACGATCAAGCCTCTTCCTAGTCTCATTTATCAGAACTATGTAATCAAGAAATAACATTTATCTTGTACGCTAGTATTAAATAAAAAGATAAGGACAAAAGGGAAAACATTGACGTGAACTTATAGAGATAGAAAATTATTTACTATCTCCTCCTAGTCTTACACTTGAGAATACTCTCTCAATAGCTCAATTTTTGAAATAAAGGAACAGCTAAAACTGGGATTGCATCTGAGGTCCGAAGAGGTATATTTATATAATTATATCCATTTTGAACTTCTTGTACCTTTTAGTTGGTATTAGTAGCTTGAATAATACGGGTTATGTGACTGAGTTGTTTGACGTTAATTGTTAGTTTCAACAAAGCTTTGGCATCGATCTCTCCTCAACATCTCTCTTCCCGACATAATTTACTGCCTTCTTTGATATCCTACCCCCACCTGCCACCCCCATCCCCACAATGGGAATAGAAAACCAAGCAGCAACCATTTAGTTAATACAAAGAAAATACATACACGCCATTAATTCATCAGTCCCCATCGCCCTTCTTTCAACACAAACTTCACAACAATGGTTAACAAGAACAAGAAATCTCACCGATGATGAAAGTCAAGAAAGTTTGATTAGGGACTAACTGCTCCAAGAAACAATGATAGGAGTTTGGAGATACAAATTTCCTTACAAATGATGCCCGGTTAGAAAAAATTATGATAAAGTTGGGTGTATGAATTATTTTTCTTCCTGGTTGGATTGTTATTTATTTGAAGATTTGGGGCAAAGATATATACCATTATCAACCAATATCAACTGTTTTGGGTTGGTATAAGCTTCTTTAAATTAAAGTGATTTATATGTCTCACTGCTTAAGTTTGTATACTATTCTCTTGATTTGTCATATGAATGTCCTGTAATTAGTGGTATACTCTTATCCATTCATTTTGGCTCCTAGTTTACCTTACATTTGTCTAGTAAATGATCTAATACTTCATAACATAAATCATGGAAGTTCTTGTAGTCACATAGTTTCATGGCCGAAGCATATTTTCACGACCGACTCTCTGAGTCTTTAAGTAGAACTATTTTATGCCTATGTGGCAATTCAAGCTATTTTCGTCCTTTTATCTCGAACATAATCATGACTAATTGCATATTTCACTTTCAAAACTTATTCACATGACCACTCGAAACGCTACTCCTATTCTACATTTGTTTCCAATGCATGCCGTCATCATTGATGTCTCAAACTCGGTTTGTTACAACTGCCTATCATGCTAGCACCCAGTCCATTTGAAAGCATATTCTTTGGGAACTAGGCATTGGCCTGGAGCAAAAAAACACCGAAAAACTAATCAAACTGAATCCACTCGGGTCGACTTGACACGGATAATTGGTTTGGTTTTCTTTTAGACAAAATCATGATGGTTTGGTTCGATCATGATTTGAAACCTCAAACCGCTGGCTAACTCACCCAACTCACTTACATATTTTCATTTTTTTTTCAAAAGCAAATAAAAATCAAAATATAAGTCCTAATCTCATACCTATATCACAATTCTCTTCAATCTATGATATTGTCGGTAAGTAATAGTACTGAAAATTTATTTTACAAACTCATCATGTTATACTTAATCTTTTTCCCTACTCAAACAGTCAGGCTACATTAATGTATAAAAAGGCAACAAAATTATTAAGTTTTCCACTGATCTGACTCAAGGAACTTGATTATTTGTTAGTTAACATTTCTAGTAATATAAAGTTATTTTAGTTCTTGTAATCTAACTGAGCCAAAATTTGGACAATTTTGTTTTTTTAATTCAATTTGGACTAAAAGTCTAAACTGACTAATTGAACCGAATCAAACCATTTTGGTTCGATTTAAGAGTTAGAGTGTATTAATTTGGGTTAAAATTCACTCGAACTGACTAATTTGGTTTTGGTTTCGGATTGGAGTCGAAACCAACTCAAATCAAACCGCATTCAGGCCTAATGAAGCATTCTTGCTCTATCTCAAATGTTGATGCTCGCTCGCATGCTCCACAATGCAATCATCGTGTTGTCACTACTTACAAGTATTTAGGCTCTTAGCATGCTACAATGAATCTTTGTTAGTGCTTTACTCGATCAAACAGAGCCAGCCATTAATCCACTACTTACTCAAATGAACGTCATAGCATATTCAATTCCAAAATGTTGGCATCTTGGGGGTATTCACTTGATCAATAACTCAATCAGCCTATTAGTGTTTCTATATCCCTAACATGGATCGCAAAAGCACAATGATGCTCAACAGACAACCTTCGCCCCCTCATGCGTGCCCTACTTTCTAACACATTAGGTAAGCACCACGTAAAGCAAACTTTAAAACTCCAAGGCTAAGACCTTCTACACGATGCACGAATTGCTTGTCTAAGCAACTCTCTTTAAAACTTGCCTTACGAATGGTCGTTGACTTTCGTACTAAGGTAACATGCAATCCATGGTGCTTAGAGTTGATTTTTTTTAATGTAATAAGGCATTTCCTATAACCCATAATCACTTCAAACTTCGTAATTATCAAAATAAAACTCAATCATGACTAAGGGGTGACTTGAATGCATTCCAGACTCAGCAGGTTGGCGCAACCCATAAATGAGGACATATGGGTGGCCAGTTACCTTCCTCTGAGAAAATTGCAACCTGAATCCTAAATTTATATGAAATATAGGGCCTTCACTTGTGTCCAATTAGTCACAATTTATATTTTAAGAGATAAAATGGTTAAATACTAATTTCAACAGAAAAAGAAATGAAAAATGGAGCGGATAAAAAGGAAAAAGACAAAACCCCGTCCCAACAACATATCAATATATGGAAAAAGCTGTTCGAACAGGGGTGTCGATGTTCGTCAAACAAAACCCTCAATATAAGCTACATATTTCACGCACTCTATTTATTAAATTATTCTACATAGACAGCATTGCTGGAGCCTATAAAAAAATTCTCTCTAAAGTTTACGATGTTGTCATCAACTGAGATTTTAATGAATTTTAAAATATTAGAAATTCTAATAAATTTTGTGAAGTTGAAAAGATTTCCAAATAAACCATATGACTCTTATGAAAGATGATGAAATTTCGAAAGAGTGAATTATGTATATTTTCATGTGTAATTCTTCCAAAATCTTTTAATACCCATTAATTAATGAAATTCTCATAAATTCACTAGTTATTGAAGATAAATTGCTTCATTGAAATTCATTGAAAATTTCAATTGCAGACATGCATCTAGATTTTAATGAATTTTAATAAAATTAAGCAACTGGGGACACCTATTTTAGAAAAATGTTTAAAATCCATTAAAATCTTAGTTGATGACATTCTAAATAGAGAGAGTCGTGGATATGCGTTTAGTAATTATCCTATTAATTTGTGTAGATTTTTTTCTTCACATATACTCTTATTCGGCCTCCAATCTTTCAAGATTCATTTTTTGTTTTTGTCAAATACATAGCTCTTAAGATTCATAACGAATATCAAATTTTTAATATACGTTTCATCAATTTTTATCAAAATTTACTAAAATTTAATTTTATCAAGGCCAAACAAGAGTTGTAGATTACCTATTTAAATATATAAATTATTTATAAATGATCAACATCCATTTTCAATTATATATAATTGAATAAATATATAAGTATTAAAAAATTTATTTACTTACTCACTACATTAGTTCCTATTTGGTGAAAATTAAAATGTAGATTTTAATCACAGTGAAAGTCAATAATTAGCCCATGTTTGAATCACATTCTAGGAAAAATGTATTATTCATGTCAAATCAAAAAGAAATGTGTGGCTAAAAAATAAGGAAAGTTTTAGATTTGCATGTAATATTATTTTATTGAAAAATGTATGGTTGAAATAATGTCAAATCACTGTTGAACAATATTTTTTTTTGAAAATAATGTGACTCAAATAAGCCTTTAATTTCAAACACATATTCATGAATTTCACAATTTTTCCATCACATATTTCATCCATTTTTTAAACTACTAAAATTTTATTTTTAATAGCGGCCTAATTTGTAAACCTTCTATTTTATTACCATTATATTCTTGGGTTACATAATCTCAAACATAAATGGAAACCTTTCGCATTGGCATGGTGCGTAATTTCACATTTTTCCTTTTACGAAGTGCACAGGTACATATGCTTTAATAAATTCAAATAAATCGGAAACCCCAACCGCACTCGCTCTTTCTCCTGCAAAAAAACTTGAATCTACCATGGCGTTTCCTTACATGGAAGCCGTAGTCGGTACGTTTACTCTCCATTACATGTATATATATTAAGCGTGTAAAAATATTATCGTTTGCCTTTTTTGAAACTTAACTCGTTAGTGGCTCCTGGAATACTTGTTATTCTGTAATTGATGTTCATCGTTTAACGATTATTTATTGTCATGAATATTTATCAAGGATTTTTATTGCGCTTGAATGGGCATATCATATATGTTTTGAAGTGGTTTTGGGGTTTTAAGTATATTGATTATGAACCGAGTGATAGCTCTTATGATTCTATATTTTTAATGAGAATAGAGTATTTCTGATCCAAAATTTGTAGCCGGGGCAGTGTTATTGAATCTCTTCCAGCAGGATGTTTGTGATAAATGAAAATGAACAGGTCTTGATCATCAATAGTGTTAATCTTGGTTGACTCAAGAAGTTATTTGTTCCTAAAAATTATACCAAACAATGTGTTAATTTGATTTTGTGGCTTCAGCCTTCAAATTAGATTACGGAGCTTAAAATTTGCTTATAGAACATTTTGTTTGTATCAGTGACCTGTCAGGAAAAGGGTAAATTTCACAAACGGTCACTGAACTTACGCGAAAAGTACAAAACGATCACTGAAGTTTAAAACTTTCAGTAACGGTCACTTAAGTTTCAGGGCGCTTTCAGAAATGGTCATTGGAGTTTAAAAACATTAAAAACGGTCACTGAAGTTTAAAAATACTTTTTCAAATACTATCGAATTTTGATACCGTTGGAAAGCCTACAATATCCTCTTCAATTACCATCTAGGTGTTCCCGCGGAGATTTCGGAAAAGGGTAGACTAGTGTAAAATCTTCCCCAAACTCCAAAGGATTCGGCCGGAATAATTCCACAAAGTCAGCTATTTAAAAAGGCGAAAATTTGGGCAGATTTTTTAGATTTTTTGGGCTACTTTTGAGGCAACTTTCCGGTAACTTTCGACTACCAATACTATTGGATTTTAGCCTTTTTGGGTAGCCAACTTTGTGGGTGTCTTCCGGCCGAATCCTTTGGAGTTTGGGGGAGATTTTAGATAGTAATTGAAGAGGACATTGTAGGCTTTCCAACGGGTCAAATACCAGCCGTCTTGGTGGTCAGAAGTCGTCAGAAAATCTTCGCAAATGTCGCCGATTTTCAGATTTTTTGGACAACTTTTGCGGCGATTTTTTGATCGAATCTTTTGGAATTACGGGGAGATTTTGGGTCATAATTGAAGAGGACGTTGTGGGCTTTTTAACGGTATCAAAATTCGACGGTATCGGTGGTTGTAAGTGGCAAAAAAGTAGTCCAAAAAATTGGAAAAAATGTTTTTAAATTTCAGTGATCGTTTCTGCAAATTTTTAAACTTCAGTGACCATTTATGAAAGCGCCCCGTAAGTTCAGTGACCGTTACTGAAAGTTTTCAATGACAGTTTTATAATTTTCGCGTAAGTTCAGTGACCATTGAAATTAACCCGTCAGGAAAAAGATAGGTGAAGAAATCCGATTTTCTCCGTTCATTTATTTGAATTTTTCCTTTCTTTCCCCCTCCCTCTTTTTTAGGGCCTTTGGAGGTGAGTACAGGTTGAATTTTAAAACAAGTAGCTACGCTTTGGCCTTTGTCTGAATTGTAAAAATTTCCTGCATGGTATACAGTACGTGGCATGCAATATTGCACTTTTCATTTTATAAATATCAACACTTCTTTTGCATTTGTTTCCGGACATTTTCAACATCATGGTATTTCTGCAAACTGTGTGGTTATCAATTGAATGTTTAATTTTGTTATTGGTTCAATGTTAACTTTTATAATTCCTCTCTTCGGTTGCCTTTTAATTTAAATTTGCATGTTTACCACATTATATTTGCTGGCTGACTGCTTGTTTCTGACCTTTTTTTTCTCGATTGGATAATATATGTTGTTAAAATTATATTGCTGATTTTCTGTCCTATATCTGCTTTTCACTTCTTTTTCCTACACTAATTTGGCTTGGAACATTTCAGGCTTTATGATATTTGTGTATATTTTTGAGACTTACCTTGATTTGCGGCAACATGGTGCTCTGAAGTTACCAACTCTTCCAAAACCTTTGATGGGAGTAATTAGCCAAGAGAAGTTTGAAAAATCTCGTGCCTATAGTCTTGATAAAAGGTTGATTATTGTTGCTTTATTTTCTAACTTCTAATTGTTATTCATGTATGGTCTGGGTTTTTCCTGCACGAGTTTCCAACTAACCACAAGTCTCTTTATTATTGGTTTTCATTTCTGAACTTCAGCCATTTCCATTTTGTTCACGAGCTTGTAATCATACTTATGGACTCGGCAATACTTTACTTTGGGATATTGCCCTGGTTTTGGAAGGTAACTGCTTCTGTGTTTTCTTGGTGCTCTTCTGTTTAAGAACTCTCTGTTTACTTCTCCTTTTCTTTTGTGACTGCAGAGGTCAGGAGAGCTTTTGGTACATTTTGGTCTCAATGCAGAGAATGAGATATTCCACACACTTGCATTTTTAGCAGGCTTTATGGTTTGGTCTCAGGTGCATATATATTTCTTCTTATTTGCTTAGAAAGATCAATTTTTTATCATAGGTTGGTCACAGATACTGGATCAGATGGTCTGTCTTTACATCTTGTGAATTTTCTTTGCCTTGAGAACAAAGAATCAACTTTAAAATAGTATTACGCTATCTTGTAATTTTTGAAATAAGTTTTGCCTCATAAATCTTGATGACATCTTTTTCAATTTTTTTGTGAGTTTTGATTATTATGTTGCATACTTCAATTTTTTGGATCATCGTTTTGTACTTATTTTATAGAGGGCTCTAAAGCATTTCAGAGGCTGCATGCTTTCACGAGCATTCATTAGGTTAAAAAATAAGTTCACGAGAACTTCTTTTTCCTGTAGAGATGCAATATAAGCTTTAAATCACATATTGTTCTTCATTATTTTAAATTAAATTATGATCTCTATTTCACAGTCAAATTTCCTTTAATCTAACTGTTTCTTTGATGATGCAGATATAAGCGTTGATTTTTTGACCTTTACAGAGTGGAGATTCAATGAACAATTCATGAATAAGAGTGACAATACAATACAATAAAATAAAATAAAATAAATATATATATAATTCTGAAAGACAGAAAGATCCTTATAGGTGTTTGGGGGGGGGGGGGGGGGTTT